GGGAAATGGCAAACCCGCCTGGGGAAGGGGTGTGTTCAGGCAGCTCTCTTGTTGTCTGTCATTGGAAGTGTCTGCTGGCAAACAAGGTAAAACGAACAAACAAGGCTTTCTCAAAAGCAGTTCTGGATGCAGTGGTTTTAGATGCCCTTGCTACTGATCTCTCCTTGCTTCGTCTGGGATCTAATCCTGTCGAGTTAGGAGATAACAAACTTCAGACAGAAAGCAAGCTGCTCTTTGAGAGTTGAGGCAAGACTTTGCAAACACAGGTTCTCAGGCAGCAGAAAGCGTCATGTATCTTTGTGGAGATAAAGAAACTTGCAGAAACCTAGAGTAATGCACTGTGGTAACAAGGTTGCTCTTCCTTTCACAGAGCCTTTGTTAGCCCCTGCAACCCTACCACTGCTAGGTAGTGACATGGTTTTGCGGTTGACTTGGCAGTCCTGGGGTAATGGTCTCTTCCAACCTAGTTGATTCTATTATTCTATCACTAGCATGCTCCATAAGCTCATGGCCTAACTCCCAGACTACCTTCAACCCTCTGGAGAAAAGCACAATGAGCCATGTAAATGCTGCTGCGAGTAAAAAGTCCCAAGGTGAGTTTAATATTGAAGAGGCAAAGTGACGAGTTTAGTACCAAAGAGGCAAAGTCAAGTGTAGTTCATAGAATCATAGAACAAACTAGACTGGAAAAGACCAATTTATTTTCTGTCAAATTCGGGTTCTGCTTTCCTGTAGGTGGTACCACCGGTGCCCGAGATACTGTGGTTTAGCTCCAGTTTCTCAAATAAGTACATCTGCACTATTGGCTACTCTTATGGTAGCTAAGTCTAGCAGTCCCAAAGGAGTGTTCTTCCTCCTCCTCTTCATTGCTCGGCTCTGCCTGGGGTAGGCATGTAGGTGGTCTCTGCTCTGGAAAAAGTTGATAGTAGAAAAAAGGCGAGAAATAAACAGAAAATAAAGAGCAGGAAACACAGCACAGAGCTTAAATGACTGACATGAAGCAGGAGGTCCAATTGCTTTAAACTAAGCCTGTAAGCACAGGCCTGCAAAGCCATAACTGGGACAACAGAATCCTTCTACAACTTCCTCCTAAAGGGCCTAATAACCTTTCTGCATGAAACTCTCTGAACTCAGCTGGGTGAAGGATTATAGCAACAGAGTATTACAGTTATTTAGGCACTGTAAAGCTGAACTTCTCCTGCCAGGTCCTGCACCTAGAGCTGGATACCGAAACCCATTGTGAGTATGGTTCCCTGAAAGGAATTGGTAAGATACCTGTCCCTGTTGGAATTCAAATTGTTCCTTTTGTGCACTTTTTGAATTGTGAAAACCAAAATGACATTGTTTTTCAAAGAGAACGGAAAACTAAATTCTGTAAAAGGCGGAGAGTGCATTCTAGAGCCATGTGTTATTCTTGAGCTATGCATAGTTTCTGGTGCTACTACTAAGACCCTCTTAGCAAAATGATACTATAACCATCAGGCAATAGCAAACTAATCTGTGCCTATAGATATGTAATATTCCCTTGCTGAGGGCAAGTTCCTGAAGTTCACAGCCTGCTAAGTAATGAAGTGCCTCTTCTACCCTTCCCCTTCGTGCCTCCAAATTTTCTGTCCTTACCCTTTCCCTGGTTTCATTAGCTGCTTTGACTGCTGACAGACCCACATGTGCTGGGCTTGCCTAATGCTGCAGAGGGCATTCCCAGGTTTCAAATGAAAGCTCGGAACTGACATCATTTGCCCTGCTCATAATCCATCGTTAAGGGAAATCAGCAAGGCAGCAAGTCTCCCAAGGATGTGTGAGGCTCAGTTGGAGCTGCAGCTTGACTCTTTTACACCTCTAGAAGTTTGGAGGCAGCTTGGCTTCTTTTCTTCCCACTACTCCTCTCAGCCTCCCCTGCTTCTCCCCTCCTAAAAGCAAATTTCTGCCTGCTTTCCATGGCTGGGGCAATGGCCTGAGCCAGCCCTTGTGCAGGGCAGTGTGCCAGGTCAGTACTCCAGAGGGAATCTGCTTCAAGCAAAGCACGTGCCTGTGGATTTTACTGGGGTCACAGTTATTCCCACTGGGAGAAGCAGAGTTGGTTATCCCCAAGAGCGTACCTTAAGGGCCAGAGGCAGCATATTCCAGACAGACTTCAGTCAGTACAGAGGATGTTCTGTCTTGTACGATACGTGTATCAGAGGTATTTCCCTCATAGAATGGCAGGATGCATCCGGGCTATTCCCACTGGTAGCTGAGGCCATCCTTCAGATCAGTTCTGTACAAGTTAGCATGTTACAAGAGCATAGGGCAGGAGCAGGCAGAGGCAGGCAGTGTGCCCCACGTACAGGGACACCAGCACGCAGGTGAGCAATCTCCTGCAGCACTTTGAGAAGCTGCAGGAGCAGGTGGACTCCCTCCTGTCCAGGGAGGAGGCGGGGAAGGTGGAGAGACAGAGGAGCCAGGTAAGGAGATGGTCACATGTGGGACTTGGGAAGGGGCTGCCGGGCCCACACCTCCCCTCCAGCTGGTTGTGCTTCAGTGCAATGTGGGGGAGCCCCTTGCTTCCCACCCCAGATTGGGTTGTACGAGTCAGCAGCATGGAGAGAAATTCAAGCCATGCTGCAGATGTCCTGCTGGCACTGAGAGCCCGTGGCCACTTGCCCAGTAAGTCGGGTCTGTCGCCAGGGGACAGCCATCCCTGCCTTGCATGGCACTACCATGTCGTCTTCCTCCCTGAAGCAGGTCCAGGAGGTGCTGAGCTGGTTGATGGTCCAGGAACAGAAGCTGCAGCAAGTGCAGCAGTAGCTGCAGGAAGAGATGGTCTCCATGGTGAGGGGTGGTTCATCCCCGCCGTGCAAAACTGGCACCTTTGGGGCTTGGTGGCCCAAGGCAGTATCCCTTTGAGGATTCCCACTCCTGGCTTTTTTCTCTGAAATGAAGGAAACTATATTGTTTTTATAAAATCCAGCTGATGATTCACAACATCCAAATAATGTTCCTGATTCATCCTTTATGAAAACAGCCCGATTCAGCCTGGCAGTACATGACTCTTCTCAGAAACTATTAATTCGCACATTAAAACTACTGAAGGTGTCTATATGACACAACTTCAAATTTACATAGAGTCTTACCAGTAAAAGAAAATTCTAAATATTCTAAAACATTTTTACTCTTTCTTTCCAGATTTAAAATCTCAGGATATGAGTCACACTGATGTATGTCCAAATTTCAAGTATGCCTGGAATTCAAGATGTACACACAAGAAAAGTACAAAACTAATGAAAAGAAATCCTTCATTAAGCCTCTCAAGCCAATACAAATCTGACCAACTTCAGTTGCTGCTGAGGCAGAACCGGAAATGCATTTATAGTCAATCTTCTGCATTCACAAAGGAGTTTTGTTGTGACATTTATATACCAAAAACTGATAGTGGGGCAAAAACCCAGTGAGTGACAACCACAAACCAAAATCAAGCAATATCAAAGAAAACACGTTTATCCAAACTTAGTGGTGAAAGTGAAATATTAAGCTTACATTAATTTATGAAGACTCCACTGAACCTGACATCAACTTGTGCAAACTCTGCTTCTATTCTTGTTTTTTTTTTTTTAAATGTGGAATTATACATGAACGGAAGAAGTCTGCTGCAAATGACAAGAGCTGACAGCTACTGACATGCTAAAATATCCCAAGCACACAAGGTCGGAGAGGTAAGAGACAATCTGGTTTGGTTAACACCACTATGTGATGACTGTAAGGGATTCACCAAGGGGAAGTCATGCTTGACCAATCTTGTAGCCTTTTATGAGGAAATAACACGGTGGATGGATGATGGCAGAGCGGTGGATGTGGTCTACCTTGACTTCAGCAAAGCGTTTGACACAGTCTCCCACAGCATCCTTGCAGCTAAATTGAGGAAGTGTGGTCTGGATGATCAGGTAGTGAGGTGGACTGTGAACTGGCTGAAGGAGAGAAGCCAGAGAGTTGTAGTCTATGGGGCGGAGTCTAGTTGGAGGTCTGTATCTAGTGGAGTGCCTCAAGGGTCGGTACTGGGACCAGTATTATTTAATATATTCATCAATGATTTAGATGAGGGAATTGAGTGTACTATCAGCAAGTTTGCTGATGACACTAAGCTGGGAGGAGTGGCCGACACGCCAGAAGGCTGTGCTGCCATCCAGCGAGACCTGGACAGGCTGGAGAGTTGGGTGGGGAATAACTTGATGAAATATAACAAGGGAAAGTGTAGAGTCCTGCATCTGGGCAGGAACAACCCCAGGTTCCAGTATAGGTTGGGGAACGACCTGTTAGAGAGCAGTGTAGGGGAGAGGGACCTGGGGGTCCTGGTGGACGACAGGGTGACCATGAGCCGACACTGTGCCCTTGTGGCCAAGAAGGCCAATGGCATCCTGGGGTGTATTAGAAGGGGGGTGGTTAGTAGGTCGAGAGAGGTCCTCCTTCCCCTCTACTCTGCCCTGGTGAGACCTCATCTGGATGTGTCCAGTTCTGGGCCCCTCAGTTCAAGAAGGACAGGGACCTGCTGGAGAGAGTCCAGCACAGGGCAACTAAGATGATTAAGGGAGTGGAGCATCTCCCTTATGAGGAAAGACTGAGGGAGCTGGGTCTCTATAGTTTGGAGGAGACTGAGGGGTGACCTTATTAGTGTATATAAATATATAAAGGGGGAGTGTCACAAGGATGGAGCCAGGCTCTTCTCAGTGGCCAACAATGATAGGACAAGGGGAAATAGGCACAAACTGGAACACAAGAGGTTCCACTTAAACTTGAGAAGAAACTTCTTCTCAGTGAGGGTGACGGAACACTGGAACAGGCTGCCCAGGGAGGTTGTGGAATCTCCTTCTTTGGAGACATTCAAAACCCACCTGGACACGTTCCTGTGTAACCTTATCTAGGTGTTCCTGCTCCGGCAGGCGGACTGGACTAGATGATCTTTTGAGGTCCCTTCCAATCTCTAACATACTGTGATACTGTGATACTGTGATTCCATTATGTCTTACAGGTCTCTAACGAAAGAGTGTTAAATGAAATATTTCTAAATTAATTTTAAAAAATCCCAGGAAGTATCATTGCTTCCACAGTTATCATACTGAAAGACATTTGCAAGTGGAATTACATTTAATCATGTTCTAGTTGTTCTCCCAAGGTGTCTACTGTCTATTTTTATAGTATTCCTAGAAGGGATTCCATACAAACCCCAAGTCTTGACGTCTCACTTGGAAAATAGCATAAAGCCTTTTCTGGAGGTCCAGTAATCTATTCATGCCAGAATGGGGTCATTTTCATTTCCCACATCTAAGTACTGCAGCAAATCATGTGTATGCATCATGTTACATGAGAATGATTATTACTCCAAACCCACCATCTTCCAAATGTTTATTGTTTTCACAACTCAAAAAAGGATAATTCATACAGCCCTTGTCTTTGTGTTTGCCTTCAGCTCCCCTTTCAAAGTACAAAACCCCAAACACCTTCTTGAACAAGTACTTAGCCGGTTTTCCCCTCTCTAGGTGTGACTTGCTTTTCCTGCAGTAGCTCTTCTTCCTTCTTCTTGTGAAGCTTTAAAAGATATTCATCAGGCTCAATTCCTGCATCCCTTAACTCTGACATGACTTTCTCCAACCGGTGCAATGTACGGGCACTCCGCACTTTCCTAGCAGTGATGTACAATGTAAATTCCTTGAAGCCCATCAGTTTACAGGTATCCACCTCACAGATATTTTTAACATCTCTGGTTTTGTCCACCTGGGGGAAGAAAACTAAACCTGACATTTTTTCCAGATCTTCAATATTTACTTGGAATTCAGGCAGCTGGTGACTGAAGCCTATGGGATCATTTGGCACCACAAAAGCCCCCAGTACCAAGGGCTCTGTAGACGTTCTGCTCCGCCTGGCAAGGATCACCTTGTATAGGTGGGATGGCACAGCTACATCATCCTTCCCGATTACCTGTCAAAAGGAAATTCATGTTTCAGATACAGAAATTACCAGTTGAGGGGAAAAAAAAAAAAAGAACGAGACTAATCCTACAACCTCTGAAAAGGAGCCACTGCATGTTAAGTACCCACCAAAATCATGCGCAGACTAGAAGCTGAGGTGGAAGGCACTTGTACTGGGTCTGGCTAGGATGGAGTTAATTTTCCCCTGAGCAGTCCTCATAGTGCTGTGTTTTGCATTAAATTCACAATTGTTCAACTTAAGAGCTTGTACATGTTGGGTTTCCTTCTGTGTCACTTAGACCAGGAAAGAGGATCAGGACTTTAAATTCACACAAAAAATGCTGAAAGCTCACACACATATGTATACAGTAGACACCCCACTCTGTGTCAGGAATAAGTCCAAGGGAATATACCTGTTGATGATAAATGTAATCTCTCCCATATTCAAAAAGTGATGCTCATGCATGCACTGTTCTGCTTGGTTTTTTTCTTTTAGTGTTGCTGAACTGAATCTGCCATGCTAACAAAATGTAACAGGCTCATACATGGAAAATCTGAATTTTGCATGACCCTTCTGTATAACCAGCCTTCTAAAATTTGTACTTTAATAGCAACAGAAGAAAAATGTTCAGATACCTCATCAAAACTACAAAGGCATCTTGTTTTATACATAAATTCTGGTAATTTGGTACTATCTCCAGTATTTGCAATACCTACAAAAGCAGGCTGCTTGTTTTGATTTTTTTGACTGCTTTTGTTAGATAGAGTTAAAATACAATTTCAGAGAAAGCAGGTATTTATTTCACTGCCACAAACTGACCACATTAATTGAAAGTATTTTACAAACTAATCCAGCGTATCAGGTCAGACATACTTTGTCCATTCATATATTCAGTATAACTCAATCACCAAAGAAAACACTCCCTATGTATGTTTCATTCTGAGAGCATTCAGCATTCCGTAAAACAAAATGAGTTTTTAAAACTAAACTTTGCCTGTGGCTACTGAACCAAGGTTCACGCAGTCTATTCCAATAGTCTGAGCTATGAATTCTTTCAGTGCTTGATGTGTGTCTCTCTTGCCAGGTTTTAAACTGACCAGCATTAAAGTCTTATTGGTTAGAACAAAGCCAGAGAAAAAGCCTTCAGGAAAAAGCAAAGCCTTTTTTCATGCGCAATAACTTAGTAGTAACACTACTACCATCTCTGTCAAACGTGTGCTCTTAGATTTCTTTGTTATAGAATACTTTCCTCCCCTTCCCTAAACGAGGCTATTTAATGGCTTTGGTGTACTTTAAACATTTTTTGGTGTGTTTGTGGATTTTTTATTTGTGGTGGGGTTTTTTTTTTAATAAAATTATCACACTTATGCCACCAACTTTTTCCTAAATAAAGCTCTGCCTAGACATCTAGCAGTCATTGAAACAGGTAAGCAATAAATAAATGCCTTATGGCAAATCTACTTATCCTTTCAATGACAGATGCCTTGATAGGGAAATTAGAGCTCCTGAGTGTCAAAGCACTTCACATTTAGCATTCAGTGTGGGTGAAGCCACAGTTACAGCTCCTTAGGTTCAATGGCATAAATAATCAAAACTGACTGATGCACCGATAATTTTAAAATATACTAAAAACTATGCATCAACACACTGTGCTATCTGGTGGATTAAAACTGAATTACAAAATCATAGAATCACAGAATGGTTTGCGTTGGAAGGGATCATCTAGTTCCAACCCCCCTGCCATGGGCAGGGACACCTTCTACTACACCAAGTTGCTCAATGCCTCGTCCAAGCTGGCCTCGAACACTGCCAGGGATGAGACAGCCACAGCTTCTCTGGGCAACTTGTGCCAGTGCCTCACCACCCTCATTGTGAATTTTTCCTAATAACTAACCTAAAACTACCTTCTTTCAGTTTAAAGCCATTCCCCCTTGTCCTACTACAAGACCCTGTAAAAAAAACCCTCTCCAGATTTCCTGTAGGCACCCTTTAGGCACTGGAGCTGTTCTAAGCTCTCTCTGGAATCTTCTCTTCTCCAGCCCAACTCTCTCACTCTGCCTCCATAGGAAAGGTGCTCTATCCTTCAGATCATCTTTGTGGCCTCCTCTGGACTCACCCTAACAGGTCCATATAATTTTCATGTTGGGCCCCAGAGCAAGTATGAATGGTGTTGGGAGCTTAGCCTATTTGAGATAGGTGGCACTCAAACTGGGGATTACATGTAACATATTGCGGGTGAGAGACAGGCAGCCAAGAAGCTCCATGAGTGGAAAAAAAGCCTTGAGGGGGACAGGAAGGAGCTCATATTTCCATATTCAACCAAGTACATCCAGTGACTGACTGCTGAAGGCAAAAGGCTGGAATTCCTTTTCTCCCCTGGGATTGCAATGTCTGCACTGCAATCCCACTCCCTGCAAGCTCCTAGGGCAGGGCAAAAGAGAAGGAAGAGACTACGTACAGGTGCACCTGCATCCTGCACCTGCAGCCTCCTGAAAGAAGGCAGTAGTGATAATAAACCCTGTTCCCCATGCTCAACCTGGCTACTAAGTCTCCAGACTTGCAGCATTCCTGTGGAGTCTGGCCTGCACTGCCTTTTCCAGGCATGCTCTGTCCTTCTGCACATACTTTGTCCCACTATAAATACATGTACATGTGCTAGGTCCCCCTTAGCTCAGCTTCCTCCCCTTCTCAATACCTCCCACACACATACACATACCAGCATCCTCCTTCTGTTGTATAAAAGACCAGAGGAAGGGTAAACACACAGATGGAGCTGCTACAAGTATCTCCAATTAGGGGGTATATGACATATGTAAAACAAACAGGTGAATGCGTGTTGAGTGAGCTAGCAGAGGGAACGAGACTTGAGTCTGAGAACTGAGTGGGCGGATAGAAAGGCTGGGGAATGAATAGAGCTGAACATAGAATAGTTAGGTATGAAATGGAAATGCTGAATGCCTGAAGTGGGTGTTATGGGAAAACAGACCCTCTGCTTATGCAATATGATGCAAATATATATATTCTATGCAAAATAATGCACATTTATGCATAGTATATTCACCTATGGAAGGAAGGAAGCAAAGCAAGAAAGAGAGGAATAGTCATGAAAGAAGGTTTGGCCTTTTGAGAAATGTAGTTCTAAATACAGTTCAGCACTATACATGCAATGGCCATACATGTAATTTATGTACTAATTTAGTTCCACATAAACTCTCTTTTTAGGATTTAAGTAAAATTTAAGTAGTGAAAAGGCTTTACACTAGTCTTCTGGATAGCAATACACTACATCTGTAAGTAATTACTTCACTGAATTCTAATACTGTTAAAGTGATTAAAACAAACTTCAACCTGCCACATGGCCAGAGTTCACAAGTGTCCTTTCCTTGCATAAATGGGGCATAAAGTTCTATTCCCAGCTAATTCTGCTGGTGGAGAATAACATCAAAGGAGTTTGCCTGATTTCTCTGACAGAGGAAAAAGCATGACAAGGAACATGTAAGGGGGTTTTTCTGCAGTTTAACACTTATGTGAACCACGCACATGATTCATCACCAAAAAACCATGCTGTCAGTGTGACCCAATGATTTCTGTTGAAAAGGAAATGCATGCCATAATATTTCCATCATTACACTCTGTAATATACCACAATTTGCTTTTTTATGTGAGTATATACAGAAGCTGCAGGTGAATGTTTCCACAGAGTTTTCACACACACACAGTTCAACAGGCAGGGAAAGAATGTGTGATTCTGCAGAAGTGAAGTTTGTAATAGAAGCAGTAAACAGGAAAACCAAACTCAACAATTCGTTTCCTATTGCCACCTAGAGGATTTTCTTACCTAACAGAGTCTGAATCACTATTCTGATCTGCACCATCCCATTTATCTCAATGCATGGTTAACAGAGGCAGATAGCATATGCTCCTATTGTAACAGAAGAGAAAATGGGTTAAGATTATCCATGCACAGATGTTGACTTGATTTGTGCTAGCCTATCCACAGGCAGCAGATGATCTTTCAGCAATCAATGCCTGAAACAGCTCTGTCCCAGCTGGAGAAGAGCAGCAGTTTTAAATAGTATCTGTGATTCAAAAAAGATCTTATGCCCTAATGGAAGCAAGAAAATACAGCAATGCCCTGTTAAAAATCACTGCTGTCCCACATGCTTTCACACCATGTTGGCAACAGGCCAAAAAGTAATTTTTTGTGTAATCCTTTGAAAACTTCCATTTTGCTACTGCAATAAAATTTTGCCTAATCTTTCAAATTTTCAACAGCCTCATAACAGGAAAAAAAAAAAAACAAACAAAAAATAAAGGCCCTCCAGCTAAAAGCCTACTTTTTATAGTATTAAATATATTCATCTGGGAAACCAACGTGAAATTTTAGATACTACCTCTCTTTCCTTATCAGTTGAATATAAAAATGTTCAGTGGTCTACCTTTTTGTGGCCGCTTATTCCTTTCACTTTTGCTTTGCTCTTGTTTCCTTTGGTGATTTGGTGCTGGCTGAAGCCCTGTGACTGAAGTGGTGTCATCTAATAACGCAACATTATGATACTGCCATTTTCAGCATGGTGTTTATTGGTTTTTATTATTACTGACATTGCTACTGACATTCCACAAGTGTGTATAAATTTGTCATACTCCTCAATTATGCCAAATTAATTGTGAACAGCTGTCATGAGGACAGGCCATTAAAACATATGCAATTCCTGACATTTAGGGATGTTTACATATTGCTAAAACAACAAACGTGTTGGTAAGTAGTTATACAAACTTAAACAGTTCACAGGGACAGATAAGGATAAGGAAAAAAGTAACATGGTTTCTTAAAACAGAGAGAATTTGTTTCTTAAAACAGTGAGCTTTGATAAATTCGGCCCCACAGCTACGTCACTGGATGAGGAGTTGTCTTAAGACTGGCTTTCCTCAGAATTTTGGCCAAATCTGTTCTTGGTTGTGGTTTTTAAAACTGGAAGGACAAAACTGCTAGCATATTTGGAATGCTT